GGGCCGCGCTGCTCACAGACCACTGCACTGTTCTCGTGTCAGGCCTCCAGCTCACCCTGCAGCCCCGCCAGGGCCCAGGTGAGGGCAGGATAAGGCTGGGGCAGTGGTGGGAGTGGGCCTGGGCACTCAGGAGCTGACTGGGCCTACTCGCAGGACCGGGGCCTGCTGACTCACAGAGCTGGGCCTCATGCATGACCACGAGCCTGCAGCTGGCTCAGGAGTGCCTGCGAGATGGGCTGCCTGAGCCCTCTGAGCCACCACAACCCCTGGAAGGCCTGGAGATGTTCGCCCAGACCATCGAGACTGGTAAGCAGGCCCTTCCAGGCCACCCTGCTACACCAATGGGGAAACTCTGCCTGCCCTTTACAGCTCTACCTGATCTGAGACATTCTTCTCACCCTTCAGTGCTGCGAAGGATCAAGGTGACCTTCCTGGACACTGTCGTGAGGGTGGAGCACTCGCCGGGTGATGGGGAGCATGGTGTGGCAGTGGAAGTCCATGTGCAGAGGTAGGGGCAGGCCTGGCTGGGTGGACTGGCATGAGGGAAGGGGATGTGAGGGGCTATCAAGTGACCCTGGCCCTGGCCCCGCCCCCAGCCTATGCTCCTGGGAAGTGGCAGAGCAAGTCTGGGTAGGCCTGGGCAGTGGCCACAGCAATGGGGAGGTGGGCTGCAGTGGTGTCCAGGGGCCAGGTGGTGCAGGCACAGAGTGGTGGGGGGGTGCAAAGATCAGGTTGCATGCTGAGGGTCTGAGAAGCCAGGACTGGCCATGGAGGTCCAGGATGGCCTGACTGTGATGGGGCAGCTCCATGACCCGAGACCCCTAGAACAGAATACTGTGCAGGCAGAGGGGCTGCACACCTGGGGTGACCAGGGCAAAGGCTGACCCTCCACTCCCCAGACTAGAATACTGTGACGAGGCAGTGCGGGACCCAAGCCAGGCGCCCCCCGTGGATGTTCACCAGCCTCCTGCTTTCCTGCACAAGCTGCTGCAGCTGGTCGGAGTCCGCCTGCATTTCGAGGAGCTTCCCCGACAGGTGGGCCAATTCTGACTCCACAGTCTCTTTCTTTTTCCAATCCCTGCCCTGTCTGTCCCTTGACCCTTCTTCCCCTCCATCCCTTCTGACCAGCTCTGATGTCATCTTCTCGACCACTCCCCTCTTATAACCTCTTGCCTCCCAGGAAGAATCCCCAGATCCCCCCATGCAGATCGGCAGCTGCTCAGGGTACGTGGAGCTGACCGTGAAACTGAAGCAGAATGAGGCCTTCCCAGGCCCCAAGGTGAGTGCGTGGGCCTGTGGGGAAGAGGGAGCGCGCTCCACTCCCTCAGAATCCTCAGCAGTTTTTATCTTCCCCCGAACAAAGCGGGGTCATTGAGTGGGGGAAGTTACTGCCTTCTTGGCAACTAGAGAAACTGAGGCTCGGAGAGGTCAGGTTGTGGCCAGGGTCACACAGCTAGTTGGTGAGCGAGCTTAGCCTGACAACTGGCATCCTAGCTCCTTAGGGTGAGGGCAGGTAGTAGTGGTTCTCAGGGGCTTGGGTGGCAGGCATAGGCTCCATGGTTGCCCCCTCTGCCCCCAGCTGGAGGTGGCCGGACAGCTGGGCTTCTTGCATCTGCTCCTGACTCCACAGCAACTCCAGCAGCTTCAGGAACTGTTCAGTGCCATGAGTCTTGCAGGTGAGGCCTCTGGGCAGTCCAGGGGGTTGGATGGCTGGAGAGGTGCCAGGCAGGCTGGACTGACACAAGTTTCCTCCCCTGTAGACCCCAAGGCCCTAGTTGACAAGCTGAACAAGAGCCGCCCACTGGGCACTGAAGACCTGTGGCTAATTGAGCAGGACCTGAACCAGCAGCTGCAGGCAGGGGCTGTGGCTGAGCCCCTCAGCCCAGACCCCCTAACCAACCCCCTTGTCAACCTGGACAACAGTGGTGGGTGTGGGGCCAGACCCAGTGGTTGGTGGGGTGGCTAGTGCAGCAGTCAGGGGGCCAAGCCTGCTGTGCCTGACCCCCTTGCCTGGCCCACAGACCTCTTCTTCTCCATGGCGGGCCTCACGAGCAGTGTGGCCTCAGCCGTCTCTGAGCTCTCCCTCGCCGATGTAGACCTGGGCTCCTCTGTGCACAGTGACATGACCCCTCGCCGGCTCTCTGCCCAGGGCCACCCAGCTGGTGAGTGCTCCAGGGGCAGGAAGAACTGGAAGAAGCCTTGGTGCTGGTGTGATGTCATGAGTAGCAGGAGGCCTCTGGCAATGCCTAGAGGCCCACCATGGGTGACTTGGTTCCCTGGGGAGGCTGGCGATGCAATGTACAAAGCCTGGGTTTTAGAGTCAGTGATCTTGGGTAAGCACTTCAACTCCCCAAGACTTGGTTTCCCCTTTCATCAAATGGGGACATTAGACCTGACCTTGCTGGGCTGTGTGTTTTAGCCGATGTTTATCAAGAGCTTGTGTCAGGTACTGGGCTGAGTGCTTTATTACCTCAGGTCCTTCCAGTTCCCTAGAGAGGGTTGAATTGAGCCTGAGCTCAGTTCCTGGCATAACAAAGCTTCATGTCACCCCTGCCTGGCCAAGCCTCCTACCAGAGCCACAGTCCAGCTGGGCCAGGACTTCTCACAGCCCCCAGCCTGGGGTGCCCATGAGCTCTGGGGAGCCCCTGGTGAAGCCTCTGTCCCCTCAGGCAAGACGGCCCTTACGCCTCATCCGGACACCATGCGCCCTGACTCACTACTGAAGATGACCTTGGGGGGCATGACCCTGACCTTGCTTGAGACATCCGCCCCGTCTTCTGGACCACCTGACTTCACCACCCATTTTTTTGCCGAGTTTGATGCTGCCAAGGATGGGCCCTTCGGCTCCCGTGACTTCCACCATCTCCGACCGCGCTTCCAGAGGGCCTGTCCCTGTAGCCATGTCCGGTATAAGCCCAAGGCAGGGGCCTGAGGAGAGATTCCCTGAGCCCCGTAATCCCTCTATCTGATGCCCAGCTTCCTCCCTTCAGGCTAACAGGAACAGCTGTGCAGCTGTCCTGGGAACTGCAGACAGGCAGGAGCCGCCGCACCACCAGCACAGACGTGCACTTCGGGCAGCTTGAGGTGCTAGAGTGTCTATGGCCCAGGGGCTCTTCAGAGCCTGAGTACATGGAGGTGAGGGCCAAAGGCAAGTGTGTGTGGTCAGGGCCTGTTGGTCGCGGTGGATGTGAGGGCTTGGCCTGAACCTCTTACCTCCCGTGTCCCACCCCAGATCCTGAGCTTCCCCAGCAGCCAGGACTCCCGGGCCTCAGCTCAGCCCTGCGCCCACCTGCACCACACACAGACCCTGCGCCGTGTGCCCAAGGTAACCCACCGCCTCCAGGCCTAAAGGCCCTTGGCTGTTTCCTATGGGGCATTGACATCACAGCCCCAACCCCAGCCTCCCCTGGTACCTGCTCCCACCCACTGTCCCCCTAGCCTGTGTTCCAAGCAGAGCATGCCTCCCCATCCGGGGACCCTTGAATACATCTGGACTTGTACATGCTGTTCTCTTAGCCCGGTCGCCCCTCCCCTGGCTCATCATGGCAGTCCCCTGGGAGTGGCGAGTATTGGATGGCTTTATTAAACAAGCACGGTCATCTGCCTGAGGCAGGGTGGTGAGGGTCTCCTGTTCCCTCCTGGTTCCCCTGCCCAAGCTCTTCTCATGAGAACCTGGGAGGGTTCTGTGTTCTGTTTTTGCTCAAGGGGGCCCCTTCCCATCCTGCCCTCACCTACCCCACAGCCCTTGCTGACCTGAACACCCTCAACTTCAGAGCCGATCCCGGCGCACAGCTGCCTGCCATTGCCACTCAGAGGTGGCCCTGGACCTGGCCGACTTCCAGGCAGACCTGGAGCTGGGGGCCCTGGACCGGCTCGCTGCCCTGCTGCACCTGGCCACCATAACCTCTCCCGAGCCATCTACCGGCCTGCTGGTAAGATGCCTAGCTGGGGCTGGGAGTGGAGCACAGGTCTTCTGGCTTGCGCTCACAGTGGTGGGGGCCCCGATGGCAGCTGTGATTCCTATACCCTCTCACAGACAGAGCCCCCGCCAGCTGCCCAACAGGAGACAGTGGTGCAGCTATCAGCACCCCGGGCCACACTTCGGCTGCACTTCCCCATTGCCGACCTGCGGCCTGAGCGTGATCCCTGGGCGGGCCAGGCCGTTCGGGCCGAGCAGCTGCGGTTGGAGCTGAGTGAGCCCCAGTTCCGGTCAGAGTTGAGTAGTGGGCCTGGCCCCCCAGCCCCCACCCGCCTGGAACTTACCTGCTCCGACCTACATGGTGAGAGCCCCTGGGAGACAGCATGTGGGACAGGGGCTCGGGCCTCTGGGAGAGATGGGCTTAGGGCTACTGAAGAGGCTGGGTGATGGGAGAACAGACCTGGGCCCAGGCCTCACCAGCTCTGTGGGGCACCAGTATTGCCTGTCCATGCCTGCTCTGCATAGCAGACAGAGTGGACCCTTTCACCTTGGGCTGCTGCAGACCTGGGCATGAGAAAGGCACAGGTCTGCAAACAGTACAGGACAGTCACCACTGACTCCACCTGGCCTTGGCGAGGAAATGGGGGGAAAGCAGCAGTGACACTCCCCCTATTTTTCCCCATTCCCTCCAGCCACCTATGAAGATGGAGAGAAGCCACCTGTCCCCTGCCTGCGAGTCTCCAAAGCCCTGGATCCCAAGGGCCCTGGTCACAAATACTTCCTGCCCCAGTAAGTGGGGGCTCGGGAAGTGGAAACAGGAGAGGAGGGCTTTGCTACTGAGGGGGTGGGAGGCCTCTTGGGATCAGGGGCTGGGGACGCCCTGCAGACCAGTGACAGGCCTATTGCCCTGGCAGGGTAGTGGTGACCCTGAACCCCAGGATCAGCAGCACACAGTGGGACGTGGCCCCAGAGAAGGGGGAGGAGCTGGAGCTGTCTGTTGAGAGCCCATGTGAGCTGCGGGCGCCTGAGCCCTCACCCTTCTCTTCCAAGAGGACCATGTACGAGACGGAAGAGGTGAGGCCTGGGGCGCCTGGGTCTTGTGGAAGCCATGTGGTGTCTGTGGGCCAGAGGAGAGACTACTTGGGGTACCCAGTGATGTGACCCAGCATCTGTGAGAATTCTGTCTCTTCCATCATCTCATGTCAATGGGGAGTTGGAAGCCGTGGGGCCTGGAAGTGAGGGCACTGGGGAGGGCAGGCCTGTGGGGAAGAGCGGGACCCTGTCCCATCATTGGCAGTGTCCTTTAGGGTCCTCTTCTCTGAAGGTGATGAGCGTTGAGTGAGAGGCAGTTAAAGGCCTGACCTCTGGGCCAAAACATCCGGGTTTGAATCCAGGCTCTGCTACCCAGTGGCCATGTCATCTCAGCCTGATGCCTCACCTCTTGGAGACTTACATACAGATGAGTTTCCTTGGAAAGTGGGCACAGTGACCCCTCTCAGGCCTGTCCTGTGGATAAAGGAATTAACATGTGTGAAGCCCGCAGAGCAAGGTTGGCATGTGGTCAGTGCTTGGCACGAGATGGCTGTCATCCTAGCAGAGAAGGGCTCATATGGATGACTCCGTAAGAATAAATGAATGGCCCTGGCCAATGTGGCTCAGTTGGTTGGAGCATTGTCCTGTACAATAAAAGGTTGTGTGTTTGCTCCCCAGTCAGGGCACATACCTAGGCTTTGGTGTTTGATATCCCAATTGGGACAAGGCAGCTAGCTGATCGATGTTTCTCACATCCATGTTTTTTTTTTTCTCTCTCTCTCCCTCCCCCCCTCTCTCTCAAATCAATAAACATATCCTTGGGTGAGGATCAGATAAAAAAATAAAATTAAGCCCTGGCTGGTGTTGTTCAGTGGTTAAAGCGTCAGCCTGTGCACTGAAGGGTTGCAGGTTTGCTCCCGACCCAGTTGTCCCAGTCAGGGCGTGTGTGGGAGGCAACCAGTCCATGTGCCTCTCACATTGATGTTCTCTCTCTCCCCCTTCTTCTCTCCACTCTCTCTGAAAAGCAATGGGAAAAAATTAAATTTAAAAAAGAATGAATGAATGATAGAAGGTTAGGATGAAGACCTAGGTCTGATTCCCCAGCCAACCGTAGGCTCCAGCATTTCTCAGCTGCCTTTCCCCGCTCCCCCATATAGATGGTGATTCCTGGAGACCCTGAAGAGATGAGGACCTTCCAAAGCCGGGCCCTGGCGCTGTCACGCTGCAGCCTGGAAGTGGTCCTGCCCAGCGCCCACGTCTTCCTGCCCAGCAAGGAGGTCTATGAGAGCCTCTACAACAGGTGGCGATGCGGATGGGGGGTGGGGTGGAGATGGGGGGTGGCAGGGAGTCAGGCTGGGCCTCCCTTACTGCCGCCATCTATCTGCCTGTCTCAGGATCAACAACGACCTGCTCATGTGGGAGCCCGCAGACCTGCTTCCTGCTCCCACCCCTGCCTCTGCCGCTCACCTTCCTGGCTTCCCGGGCCCCTCAGGCTTCTGGCATGACAACTTCAAGATGTGCAAGTCAGCCTTCAAGCTGGGTAGGAGGGGCACCTGGTGGGGTCCTGGGGCCCCCAGAGCCGGGCAGGGCTAGGGCAGCCCTTCCAGGTCTCCTTCCCACTCGGCTCCTTGATCTTACCCCAGACTCAGACTCGGACGACGAGGATGCCCACTTCTTCTCAGTGGGGGCATCAGGTGCCCCCCAGGCCGCCCCCGAGACCCCGAGCCCTCGCTCCCAGAGTACGTTCTCTACGCTGGTGACGGTGCTAAAGGGCCGGATCACCGCCCTCTGTGAGACCAAGGTGAGGGCAGCCCCGGGGAGGTGAGCCCCTGACTTCAGAGCTCCCACTGGCAGGAGACCAAGACAGGTGTGAGCAGCGCCAAGTTGGGGATGTGGGAAATGGGCCCCAGTGGGGGCTGAGTGGGGCCTGTCCAGCCACTAGCACTCCCCTGACACCACACCCATCCCATTGTATCCTGTCAGCCACTTATTAGCACCTGCTGTATACAAGAGTCCGAAAGGGCACCATCTCATGCTGGGAGGCAAACTGGTCAGGGGCGATTCCTCCCCTCTGGCAAAAGAGACAAGTGCTGCCCTGGGCCTCCATCGGAGCCTGGGTAGATGCTGGAGCTGATCCTAGTTAGGCCGGGGCTCCAGGAGTCCCCCTTGCCCCTGAGGGCGTGGGCACTGCTCATGCTGCGGGTGAGGCCAGGCCACATGCTCTGTCTGCAGGATGAGGGTGGGAGGCAGCTGGAGGCCGTGCATGGGGAGCTGGTGCTGGACGTGGAACAAGGTACCATCTTCAGTGTCTCCCAGTACCGAGGCCAGCCAGGGCTCGGCTACTTCTGCCTGGAGGCTGAAAAGGCAACGCTCTACCACCAAGGTGAGGGCTGTGGGCCAGTTGTCAAGGGGTCTCTAGGGTCCAATGGGCAAGGGCTTTCAGGACAGATGTGGGGCCTGGGTGAAGTGGGCGATCAGCAGGCTTGGCAGGGGGCTCACCTGATGCCTCCCCAGCGACTGTGGATGACTACCTGCTGCCCAGTCACCTGGAGCTGCCCAGCTTTGCTCCTCCGGCCCAGCTGGTCGCAACCATCTACCCATCAGAGGAAGGGGTGACCAAGCAGGGAGCCGCAGGCCGAAAGGGCCCTGGCCGGGATCCCCACATGCTGTCCGCTGCTGTGCGCATCCACCTGGACCCCCACAAGAACATCAAGGTACAGCCACGCCTGCTTCTGCCCACCCACCTGGTACATGGAGGGCTGGGCTTCCTGCTCACTGACCGTGTCCCACCCCCAGGAGTTCCTGGTGACACTGCGGCTGCACAAAGCCACCCTACGCCATTACATAACCCTACCAGAACAGAGCTGGCACTCCCAGGTGAGCAAGGGTGGCATGGGCAGACAGTTCTCTAGGCTGGGAGGAGGCCAGTGCCATGGGCATGGGCTGGGCTGGGCTGCGCTGGGGGATTAGAGGAAGGATGAGGCCACCCTAACCTCACCACCTCTCCCACTTTGGTCCCCAAAGCTGTTGGAGTTCTTAGATGTGCTGGATGACCCAGTGCTCGGCTACCTGCCCCCAACGGTTATTACCGTCCTCCACACACACCTATTCTCCTGCGCTGTGGACTACAGGTACCCAGGCTGGGCGGGCTGGGTGCCAGGGGCCGGGGGCAGACTCTCACGTGTGTATAAGGAGCCTGCCCCAGCTTCATTGTCACCCCAGGCCCCTCTATCTTCCTGTGCGTGTCCTTGTCACCGCCGAGACCTTCACCCTCTCCAGTAACATCATCATGGACACTTCCACTTTCCTGCTCAGGTATACAGCCCCCTCCCTCCCAAGCTGGGCTACAGCTGCCACTCCCCCAGGGTGCTGCCTACCTGCTGTGTGTCCTCAGGCCACTCTCAGCCTTTCTGTACTTTCTGGTGATGATCCTTCCATCAGAATTGGGTCCACCTTCCTGGAGAGCAGTAGGACCTCCAAACCCAAACCTTACTGGTGTTCGCACTTTCTGTCCTAATGATTTCACTTCTGGTGCTTGTCCTGGGATGTAAGGATAAAACAGGTGGAATATAATGCCTCTATAGTACAATTTAAAACAATCAGAACTTACAGTCCAAATGCTGCCAAATTATAACCTGAGTCAGTACTGTGACCCATCCAACCTTTCAAGTCAAGTCAAAGAATAACATTGAAACATATGGGGAAATGCCATGGTACAGTGTAAAAGTAAGATATAAAACTACATATGTTTAAAACAGATTTATGAGGAGGTCCTTATACCTCTCTGTGTGGCTTGGTAGAAAGTGTGTATCAGAATTTGGGATTAGGAATTAGGGATCGCATCTTTTCTATTGCTATATTTTAAAATATTTTAAAGGAGCTTGTGTTGTGTTGACATTAAACTAAGGGCTTGTATAAAACAAAAATAAAATTTAAAAATTATATATCAGAGGAATGGCAGCATGAGAGATCCTCTTGGTCTCTCCCCTTAAGAAATAAGCGGGCTACCTGTTTGGGACCCCTCTCACTGCGGCGGGGGCTTTTGTCTCTCCTCTCCTTCAATAAACTTTTGCTATCTCTTAATAAAAAGAAAGAAAAGAAATAAGGACTTGTTTTAAGAGAATAATGGCGGCGGGAGGGGAGTAGGACCCTCCCTTCCCAGGGTTGCTGCGAGGCCCGGATGAGGCGGCAGAGCTGGAGGTACTTGGAGAGGGACAAATCGGCCTGGGCCACGGAGACCAGGCCTGGCCTCCCCATGGCACAGACAGCACTGAGGCCGGAGGGCCCAGCACTCATTCTTATGAGCTTGGGACCTGCTATGGGTGTCCCTCTGCCTGTCTCTGGGTGCCCTGCCCCTGCTGGCTGCCGTGGAGCTGCCTGCAGCGGCTCCAGACCCTTCTCAGCCCTGTTCCCACCAGGTTCATCCTCGACGACTCAGCTTTGTACCTTTCTGACAAGTGTGAGGTGGAGACCCTGGATCTGCGGCGAGGTGGGCAGGGTTGGACTGGGCTCCCTCCCCTCTGAGGGACCATGGTCCCGGGCCCACACAGAGCAGCCAGTGTCCTCCCCCACTGATGGCCAGGTTTTTAGCACCGACATATGTACACAGCACAAGGGCTGCACCCAGACAAATCCCCAATTCTCCCTCTGGTGGCGGGTCAGGGCCTGGGTGTGAGGAAGCAATAGGAATGTCTCCTGTCCTCTGCTTCAGATTATGTCTGTGTCTTGGATGTTGACCTCCTGGAGCTCGTGATCAAAACCTGGAAGGGGAGCACTGAGGGCAAACTGGTGAGTGCGGCTGTTTCCCAGAATCCCTGGAGCCAGAGCAGTACAGGGGCCCAGGGTGCCTTCAAGGGGGTCACCCTTCGCCCACACACCATCTCTCTCTGCTTCTGCTCCCTGGGCCAGGCTCAGGTCACAGTCACTGCTGGCCCTTCCAATGCTGGGCTGTGGTATTGGCCCTCCTGGGAAGGGCCCGGCCCATAGTGGGTGTCCCTCAGTGTGAGTCCTGCCACTAGAGGGCAGCAGCAGCCAGGGCAAAAGCAGAGCCTGGAAGTCAGTTTCCTCCTCTGTAAAATGGAGATAGTAGGCCTTGCCTGGCTGGCTGGGGTCAGGGGCAAAGGAGAGGGTGTTTATCTCATGTAGCCTTTCCCTCGGGGTGGCACTCGGCTTCTTGGGCAGCCTGGGTCCAAGCCCCTTCCGTTCTCTGGGCTCCGCGTGCTTGCTCATCCATTCAGTGGGGTTATTGGGCAGGTTGACCACCCCAGGGAAGACCTAGCCTGTCCTATCTGTGTATGGAGAGGACAGAGCCTGGGCTGATGGCCCCCCTGCCCCATCCGCACAGAGCCAGCCCCTGTTCGAGCTGCGCTGCTCCAACAACGTGGTGCACATGCACACCTGCGCCGACTCCTGCGCTCTGCTGGTCAACCTGCTGCAGTACGTAATGAGTGCGGGCGACCTGCACCCCCCACCCCGGCCCCCCAGCCCCACTGAGATCGCCGGCCAGAAGGTACAGGTGAGGCCTGGCCATCCAGGCTGCCAGAGCTCTGCCTGGCCCCCTGCCCTGCCATGGGGGACCCCTGGGCCTGCCCCTCCCTCCTGGCACTCATTCACCCCTCCTCCCCTGCCTGGCCCAGCTCTCCGAGAGCCCCGCCTCCCTGCCCTCATGCCCCACAGTGGAGACAGCCCTCATCAACCAGCGGGACCTGACTGACGCCCTCCTGGACACCGAGCGCAGCCTGCGGGAGCTGGCCCAGTCTTCAGGTGGGGTGGGGGGGCTTTGGGGCCAGCGGACACAATCAGCACCCACGTCAAGCATCCCCCCAAAACCAGCCTCTCTCCTACAGGTGGCACTCTCCCTCAGGCCTCGCCCGTGTCCGTCTACCTATTCCCAGGTGAACGGAGTGGGGCGCAGCAACCTCCCTCGCTGCCTGCTGGGGTCCCTGCTGGCAGTTGCGGGTCCTGCTCAGAGGCCAAGGGAGATGAAAAGGAAAAGGAATGGGATGGAGACACTCTGGACAGTGATGAGTTCTGCATCCTTGACGCTCCTGGCCTGGGCATCCCGGTGTGTGGCGGGCAGACTGGCAGGGGCAGGAAGTGGTGGGAGAGGGTGGCTCAGTCCCCTGCCCTTCTAGAGATTAAGCCATGGGAGAGGCAGAAGGTGGTAGGTACCCCCGGGCAGGTGGGTCTGGGGGGGGTCTTTCTGGGAGCAGCCCTGAGCCTGGGTTTTGAAGGAGGTAGTAGATTTCAGAGGAAGAGAAGGCATGGCATCCTGGGCAGAGGGCCTGGAACATCAGAGTAGGGAGGACGAGGTCAGGTGGTTAGTGGAACAGTGAGGAGAACCATTTGCTGCACGGGTGCTGACCTGGCCCCCAAGCACCAGTGGGAATGCCATATGCAAGCAAGACCCAGGGAGACAAGGCTGGCAGGAGCAAGGGGCATTTGGCCCCACCCTAGACAGAATATTCAAACACAGGCTGTGGGAACAGTGACCCAGGAGGGCCAGCTTTGTCAAAAATTGGGAGGGAATTGTAAAGGCGGGAGAAATGGGTGGAGGGTGGCCTGGACTGGGAAAAGCATCTGTGCCACATGTATTCACTTGGCTTCCTCTCTGCAGCCCCGAGACGGGGAACCCGTGGTGACACAGCTGCATCCAGGCCCCATCATTGTGCAGGACGGGCACTTCTCACGGCCGCTGGGCAGAACAGACCTGCTGCGGGCGCCTGCCCACTTCCCAGTGCCCAGCACCCGTGTGGTGCTGCGTGAAGTCTCCCTTGTCTGGCACCTCTATGGGGGTCGAGACTTTGGCCCTCACCCCAGCCACAGGTAAGGAGAGAGTGAAGGTGGCAGCTATGACAGCGGGGCTCGCCCACTCAGGAGATGGGGTTTGGGCTGGGATCCAGCCCTGGCCTTCAGTAGCTGGTAACCTGGAGCCATATCCTTACCTCCCTGGCCTCAGCTCTTCCCCTTTCCTTATTCCATCCACCTCCCAGGAGAAGGTCTCCCACCACAGGCTGAAAGGCCTACTCTGAGAGGAGGGGGTGAGGAAAGGGTGTTTCCCTGAGTCAGCTTGTCCCTTGTCCCTCCTCCCAGGGCAAGAGTTGGCCTCACGGGTCCCAGGGGCTCCCCTTCTCACAGCTCTGGCCCCAACCGGCCCCAGAACTCCTGGCGCATGCAGGGGGGCAGCGGGAGGCAGCACCAGGTCCTCATGGAGATCCAGCTCAGCAAGGTGAGCTGGAGGCTTGGGGTGCAAGGGGCCAGCTGG